GATGTGGTGCCAGGGATCGAACTGCAGTCCCTAAGCTTGCCTAAGCAGGCGCTTTAGTCTGCTGAGCTATGTTGCCAGCCACAGTGTGAGTCTTTTAGGATTTTATTTTGAAAGCTAATGGACAGCCAGGGAGTTACCAGGACAGCAGGGCGAGCACAGGGTCCCCAGTAGAAGCGACAGCTGGCCGGGCGTGGTGGGGCATCATGACAGGCAGGAGCACACAAAGCTACTGAGCAGCTAAGTTGCCAGAGCTGGGCTCCCGTGTGATCCTTGCGCCTCAGCCTTCGGGGCTGCTGTCCTGGCGCGCTGCGGCAGGCCTGGCCTCCACATCTCCTTTGAACGCCTTTGCTGATGGTGTATTGGTGAAGCCGCCCCTCTGGGGAGGCAAGAAGACCAAAAAAAAAAAAAAAAAAGGAAAAATCTTTTCTTTCTTTTTGAGATAGGGTCTCACTATGCAGATCACTGGCCTTGAGCTCACTTTGTAGCCCAGGCTGTCCTCAAACCTGCAGCAGCCCTCCTGCCTCAGCCTCCTGAGTTCTGGGATGATGGGCATGCGCCATCCCACCCAGTTTGCCCTTTCTCATCTATGCTGAATCCACTATCAGACTATGAGCTGCTGGAGAAAACAAAGCTACACACACACACACACACACACACTCCTGAGGCTATGACAGGGTCAGGCAGCCTTTGCCTTTTAAAAGCCTGCTGTGCAGCCTGGTGTTTTCTCGGGTGTTTTCCCTTTGGAGATCACAGAAGGCGTGGGCAGCGTGGCTGTGCAATCCTGAGACTGTGATTTTAGACTGGTGTGGGGCCGCACCCCAAGACCTATGCAGGCTCTGTGCCATCTGCCCCCCGCACCCCCTTGTAGCCTTCAGTTCCTGAGTGATGGGAAGCCATAGAGAACCCGGAAACCAACCCCAAAGGCCAGGAATCTCATCTGCACCACAGTGTGCTTTGTTTTCTCCCAGCAGTTTGCTATTAAAATCCAAGAAATCAGCCAAGCACGGTAGTTCACACACACCTATCATCCTAGCACTTGGGAGGCTGAGGCAGGAGGATCTCTGTGAGCTGAAGACCAGCCTGGGCTACTTAATGAGTTCACAGCCAGCCTGAACTACACAACTACACAGCAAGACCCTGTCTCAAAAAATAAAATGAAAGAAGCAAAATCGCAGCAGTTCCCAAAGTCGCCTTTTATTTGCGAGCTACACCAGAGGCTAATTCTAAGGGCCTGGGGTGCTTCCCCCGCCACCTTGTGTATCCTGATTTGGGATTCAGTTGTTTTATTTTTAATACTGCCAGTGCACTTTGTGTGTGTGTGTGTGTGTGTGTGTGTGTGTGTGTGTTGTCCACAATATGCCTATTTAATGATTGCCAAAATATTTAGACTGAGTAATGTCTGATCAGTCACCTGCATTGTGACTTTTGTGGGTTTTGTGTTTAAGTTGCTTTTTGTTAAACACGTCTGTAATTCTCTCCACAGAATATATTTGTATATATTGCAATTTAAAAACTAAAAGGATGACCTGAAGCAGTTGTGTTAACGTTGTTCTCTTGTACCCGTTTGACTGCCGCCTAACGACATTTTTGTTTTTGTAATGCTGGGGCGGCCACTCCACCTGGGGGGATTCTAGACGCTTGGGCCCGAGTAAGTTTTGTTTGCATTGAGCTAATGTGACTGTTCCTTTCTATTCTTTCCTAAAAGAAAAGAATCTGTCTGGCATCTTCTAGTTGTACCCTCCTATCTGCCTCTCTAATAAACATTATATTTTTCTCAATGTTGTGTATTTTAAGTGATTTTTCTCTTTTCCAAGAAAATTACTCTGTGTAATATGAATATTTAACCCTGTTCTTTGTGACGGGGAATTTTCCAGCCAAATGCTCCTCCTCCTCCTCCCTGGAGCCCGGCCGCTGTCCCCACGAGGTCCCCTTCCTGAGGAAGAGCTTTCACTGTTGAGCCAGGCTCCGTCCCACCCGAGACTTAACAGTTCTCTGATAAGGCGCCAGGACTTTTCACGCTGGGGACCACGTCTTCCCAAAGCTCAGAGGACCTGGAGTCCAAGCCCAGCCTGGGCAACTTGGATTTAATCAGATGGTCTCAAAATTTTAAAAACAAAAGTAAACAAGCACTGGGGATGTAGCCCAATGCAGAAACCCCGAGTTCATCCCCAGTACCACAAAATAATGTAATAATAGCAGTTATTATTACATTACAGAGTACAGTCGGGCCTGAGTACAGTCGGGCCTGGGCTCAGCTCCGTGGGACAGCATTTACTTCCCGAACACGTGGCAGGAGGCCCTGGGCTCTGTCCCCCGCACCAAGGCAAAACAGCCCTGGAGTAACTGACTTCATCTTCTATTTGAATTTCTTTTAAAGATTGAAAGTAATGGGGCCGGGGAGCTGGCTCAGTGGAATAAGCGCTACCCTGGCAAGCACAAGGGCCTGAGTTCAATCCCCGGTTTCACCAAAAAATAAAGATTGAAAGTAATAAAGTAAAGCCGGGCGTGGTGGTACACACCTGTGATATTCCAGCACTTGGGAGGCTGAGGCAGGAGGATGGCTGTGAATTGGAGAGCCGCGTGGGCTCCATAGTGAGTTCAAGGCCAGCCTGGACTGCATAGCAAAACCCTGCCTCAACGCCCCTTACCCAACTAAGTAAGAAATAAAACGGTGAACGTTCCTTATCTCAGACCTGCCCTTCATAAGCAATTTCTATTAAAAAAAAACCAAAAAGCCTCCCTCCCCCTCCTGTCCTCCCTGGTGGCACCCACTGCAGGGCGCTCTCTGCTGCCTCCGCCTCCTCTGTAACACCTCTCTTTCTGTCCTTCTATGTTGTAGATTCCTGAAGGCGGGAACCTAGATGGGACTGGAGCCGTCCCAGGAGCCAGCGCCCGTGCCCAGATCGCCCGGCCAGCTGAGGGTACCCTCGACGCCACTGGGAGCCATGTCCCCCCCTCCCTAGCATGCTCCGGGGGCCCTCACAGGATGGCATGGCTGTCCCCATGCTGTGGGCCGCATAGGCCCTGGACACCCCGTCCCTGCCCGCTGGCCCTTGCACGTGTCACACTGTGCCTTCCTGACGCCGCCGTAACGTGACAGCCACATGTCCCTGGTGGCCGTCTGGCCTCAGCGATGGACACCGGCCCCTCCGCACTTTCCAGGCACCATAGCACCCCGGGCAGGATCGGGGTCTCCTCAAGTCCCCAGAGCTGCTGCAGCCCTACCAAGTCGCCTGCGTCGGCCTCACCTCAGGGGCTGTGGATCCGGCGTCTCCTGACCCAGTGTCGCGCTCTGCACCAGCCCAGCACGCAGTGACAGTTCTTCTGTCCCTGTGCCTGAGAGTAGCATTTTAGAACTCCGCGCCTTCACCACCAAAGACCTCATGCTGTCTGTCAAGGTCCCTGTGTCACCTAGCTTCTGTGTTGGGTCCCAGGCTCTGCAGCCACAGAGAATCAATCGAGTCTGACCCTAAGGACAGAGAGGCCTCCTGGTCCCTCCTCACCTGGTGCAGTGGCGGGCAGCGGGACCAAGGCTGGTGCGTTGGTCCCCTCTGGCTCCTGGGACCCAGGTGTCACCTTGAGTGTCCTCCCCTCAATCTGAGCCAGGGTGCTGACAGCAGCCAAAGGGATGAGACCTCAAGGTCAGGCGAAGCCAGGTCCTGTGGGTCAGGCCAGCTGTGCCTGAGGCGCACCCCGGCTGTAGCAGGAGGCAACAGGGTTGGCCACTCCGTCCCATCCATAGCAGCTGGGCCGCCCGAAGTATATCAGCCAACAGTGCCAGGGGCGTGGTGGACAGGGAGCAGCTTCGGGTGACAGTGACCCAGCCAGGGGGTCTTTGTCGCTTCTCTATGTGAGGCTCTGCCCAGCCGTGACATCGGCCCGCATCTCCTCCACAAGCAAGGTTCTGTCCCAGTGTACCCATGCCCTGCGCGGCCACGGCCACCATTGGTCCCCAAGAGCCCCTCTCTTGTGGGTAACCAAGACCAGCCGTGGAAGCCTCGTTGTGCATGTGCCCAGTGTCGTGCCCGCCTCTCTCCTGTCTCCTTCCTTGTGGGGTCTACTCCTGTGTCCCTCCACCCCAACACTCCTTTTTTCTTTTCAAGCCTTTGTACTAGCTGTGTCCGAACATGAAAGGAGAGGCCTGGCCCCAGTCAGTAATGCTGAGGCGGTGCAGTGGCCACTGGCGGCAGCCCCGCTGTGAGGTCACCTCGGGCTCCTCCTTTCCCAGGACCCTACCTGCTATCTGTCCACCCTGCTAAAATGCCATGAGAATTGCTCCTGGGAACTCTGGCTTGGCATCCGCCTGTTACCCCAGCACTTGGGAGGCTGAGGCAGGAGGATCACCAAGAGTTCTAGGCCTGCTTGGGCTACAGAGGAGACCTTATCTTAAAAAGAGAAAGAGAGAAAAAGAATGACTCATTTGAAAAGTACCTGCCCTGAAAAGAATTTAAAGACAGAGTGAAAGAGGAACTTGGCCTTCCCGGGTTTTCCAGTGCCAGATGAGAACACAGCAGCGTGGCCAGCTTGTCCCCCAGGCTGGCTGTGCTCGCTCTGCGCCGGCCTGGGGACTGCGTGGCCTCTTGCCCGCCCTAACGTCTGTCCTTGTAGCAGGAGCCCATGCGGCATAACCGTTGATGTTTCGCAAGAAGTTTCTCACAGCCTTGTGTTTCTCACGGGCTCGTCTCGTGTGTTTCTAACATCAACAAACGTCCTGATCCAAACCGCTGTCTTCACCTGGCGCCGGTACCGTGCGTGCGTGCGTGCGTGTGCGCACAGCTGAGCGTTGCACTAATCCTGGGCTCTGGGGCACGGCAGGGTCATGACGGCCCAGCCCGGTGCCCAGGTCCTGGAACTGCCTGTTTGTCTCTGGAGATGGAGCTGACCAGTAAGTGCTCCTCCCCTCAGAAGCCTCGTGTTGACCTTGTAACCACATGTTAATCTCTAAATGGTAAATAAAGTATTCCTTCCATGTGGCGTCCAGGCCAGGGCTCCTTTGTTTCGCAGAGAGATGACCCTAGTCCTGGAAGCCAGCGGGTGTCCCTGGAAGCCCTGGGCTGAGGGTGGCCTCTGGTCCACGTGGGCTCGCTGATCGGAAGCTCAGGCAGGCTTGGACCTAGAGAGCTGTGGATTGCACTCCTCGCCACTGGAGGGTTGGTTCAGTCTAAGGATTTGAAGAAACTCCTGGGTTTTTTGTTCTTGTTTTATTTCCAATACTAAGGATTGAACCCCAACCTTCGTTGGAGCTACAGCCCCAGGCTGTATTTATCTTTCATTTATTTATGTATTCAGTACAGGGGCTTGCTATGCAGCTTGGACTCATAGTGATCCTCCTGTCTCAGCCTTCCCAGTGCTGGGAGTACAGGTGCATGCCACAGTGTTATTTATGATTAGGAATCTTTTTTTTTTGGCATGCAAATTCAGTTACCAACTACCCTCACTTTGGGGACTCTGTTGCATAGGGGAGTTAGATCCACCAGTGCTTGTTACCAGTTCCTCAGAGACCCCGTGTCGCAAGCGCTCCGACACCTGTCGGCTACCTGGTTTGCACCGCAGGTTGCCGTGCCACTAGTGCTGGGGAAACTCGGGTTCCCAAAGGCCTCTGGGAAAGAAGGGGTGGTTTCCATTCATGCCTGGCCTTGGGGCTGTCGCAGGAAATCGGGCAGGGGGGGGGCTTCTTCTGTTGTTGTTTATTTAGAGGCAGGATCTCCCTGTGTAGCCCAGGCTGGCCTCAAACTCAAGGCAAACTTCTGCCTCAGCCTGGCAAGCGCAAGGGCTGACATGCGAAGGTGGGAGCACCCTCCCCTCCCCAGGGCCGGCCTTGGGGACTTGGGGCTCGGGCAGCCCTCTGGACGCCGCTCCACCCAGGCCAGAACGCGGGATTACACAATCTTCGCCCGGGGAGGGTCCCGGGAGGCTCCAGAAGCCGGGTCTGGACGGGCTCCTCCGGTCCGGCTGGAAATTCCGGCAGGAACCCCGCCACCCCGCCACCCCGCCACCCCGCCTACGCGGCCGGCGCAGCAGCGGGAAGACACGGGCGGGGCGTCGCCGCCCCCTGGTGGCCGGGGGGCAGAGCGCTCCACGTCTCCCGGGATTATGTGACGGGGGCGGGGCGGGGATCAGGTTGCCGTCATTTCTTCATTTTAATTTTTTTGCTCGTTTGTTTAATGAGGCCAGGGCCTTGCAGATACGAGGCAGTTGCTCTCCGCGGAGCCACCCCGTAGCCCCAGTTTTAAAAAATTATTTATTGAGACAGTCTTGCTATGTAGTTTATTTTATTTTATTTTTTTTTTGCAGAACCCGGGATTGAACTCAGGCCTTTGCACTTGCCAGGGAAGTGCTTACTCCACTGAGCCGAGATCTCCCCAGGCCCTGCTATGTAGTTTAGGTTGGCCTTGAACTAACTCACTATGTAGCCCAGGTTGGTCTCGAACTCTCAGTAATCCTCCGGCCTCAACCTCCTGAGAGCTGGGATTACAGGTGTGTGCCATCGCCCTGGGTCCAGCTTTTGTTTTTTGTTTCCCGTAGCAGGGCTCGAACTCAGGACCTTGCGCTTGCCAAGCAGCTGAGCTATCACCCCAACCCCCACTCCATCATTTTTAATTAAAGCAAAAAGTCCCAGATGGGGCCCGGGAGTCCCACCCTGAGCTACTGCTCCAGTGTGCATTCTGAGGGCGAGAAAAGCCTCTCGGCCAAGCCTGTCATGCCTGCTCCCCTGGGAGACCCAGACAAAGGTAGTGTCCCCAGGAGCACGGGGCGCCCAAGGTCCCTCTCTCCACGCTTCTGTCCCTGCAGTGGGCTCGGGTGCGCGGCCTCGGCTGGGAACGTGAGCTCTGAGCCCTAGAGGGCACGCTCTCCCGGGCCGGAAGCAGGGGGCCCGTCCAGGGCATCCAAAGCCGGACACGTACGGGCTCTCTTCTGGGACACCGCGGGGGCTCCCTTTATGCGCAGGTTCCTTGAGGACACCAGCGCCCCCTACAGGACAAGGCAGCCTCCCTGGGCGGAGGGGCTGCTGCCCCAGTACCCCGGACTGCTCCAAAAGGAGGTGTGTGTGACTCAGGACAAGAGGGGCCTGATGGTGTCCCCAGCCCCATAATCCCAGCACTCCAGATGCTGAGGCAGGAGGATCCCGTTGGGGAGGGGAGACACCAAATGGAACCGAACAGGGGCTGTACCTGGGGTCTGTGGAAATAAAAAGCTGGAGGTGGGTACACTCCTGTGGCAGGGGCTCCTGGGGTGCTGTTTCTGTGGTACTTGGCTGGGCCCCAGCTTCTCCCCACTGACCCATGACCTCAGAGCTCTTTGGACACAGTTTTAAAATTTCAAACAGGGCCTAAGTCACTACACTTCCCTGGCCTGGACTCGAACGCAGAACCCTCCTGCCAAAGCCTGCCACTGCTCTGAGGTGGCACCTGTGGCCACTGGCCTGCTGTTTTATTCCTTGCGTAGCATGCTGCTGGGTCCTCACCACTGGCAGGACATCACAGGTGAATGCTGTTAGATGCCAGAACGGGTAGTATCACCGAGCCACACCCCAGCCGCACAGGGGCGAGGTCCTCTCTCCATCTGTCTGACTGTCTCTGAGACAGGCTCTCACCATGTAGCCCAGGCTGGCCCTGAACTCGCGATCATCCTCCTGCCTCAGCCTCCTAAGTGCTGGAATGTGCCACCACGCCCGGCTAAGGGGACGCTTCTAAAGTAACCTTCAAAGATGTCTAATTCTCCCCTCCTTCAAAGTAAAAGCAGGGGGCCGGGGAGATAGCTCAGGAGAATAAGCACTTGCCTGGCAAGCGCAAAGCCTGAGTTCAATCCCGGGTTGGGGGAGGCGGGAAGCAAAAGCACCCGAACAGCAGCACAAGCAGGCCGCGGAGTTCTCGAGAGCCCGGCTCCACCTAGGGAAGCTGGGCAAGGGACAGACCCGTGGGGGTGGGGGCAGCCTGCGGGATGTGCTGGGCTTGGCCACTGGCCACAGCTGGTCACATCTAAGACGGGGTGGCTTCTGGGATGCAGGGACAGGCAGGTGGTGCTGGTCCCAGGAGCCTGCGCCTGCTCTACAGTGGAAGGCATATGGCACAGGCAGAGTGACAGCAAGGTGGTGGGGACACATCTGTTTATTGTGACACTGCACACGTCACCAGGCTGCACCGTAGCTGCAGCTCACATGGCTGGCGAGGTCCAGAGCTTCGCAGCAGGGTGACACACAAGTGATGGCAGCAACGGGGATGTCACCAGCCCCAGGGGCCGCTGCTCCCAGGTCCCCACGGGCACCCACTGGTTTGGGGCTTGGTCCTGGCACCCCAGCTCTGAACCGCTGTCCCCAGAAACTGGGCTCACGGGTCCCTGTGCTCCTGGTGGCACCAGCATCCAGAACACGCTTCTGGGGACCTTTGTGTGCACGGTGGGTGGCCAGGTAGTCCTGCCTCCAGGACAGGAGAAGCAACACCCACGACACACTGCACTAGCAGCAGGTGACAAGGTCCCTGGGGTGGCGCTGGGTGGCGCCACTTCTGGCCTGGAAGGACACAGCTGCTGCCCCTACTGTCCAACTCATGGATCCAGTCTGCAGCCAGTGGGACAAGGGATGCCAGGAGCACTGGTGACACCGCAAGGTGGGCGAGGCAGATGGGGAGTCCCTGGGGCTCTGCGCTCTCAGGGGTGGCAGGAGATGCCAGGAGCCAGAACCAGGCCTGAGCTGGCAGGTGTGGGGCAGATGACGCTGCCAGGAACATGACAGTGACCACCATGGGCACTGCAGGACAAAGACCTGGATGGGCACCCCGAGCCCTGGCCACCGCCTCAAGCGGGGCGTGAATGTATTCCCCAGGTGGCTGTCAACACTCGCCACCACCCCTCTGCCTGGCCTAGGCCATCTCAGAGGGCAGCAGGGGCTCTGAGCGCCCCAAGGAGGAGCCGGGGTCACAGGGTGCGCGTCTCAGCCTCAATCTTCTGCTCGCCATGCAGGCTCTCGGGATCTGGGGGCTGCAGCACACTCTGGCGGATGGCAATCTCGGGGCCGCCGCCATACAGGCGGCTCAGGTAAGCCCAGGTCTCCTCGGAGATCTGGCCATAGTCGGCCCCTGTGGGCACAGAGCAGGGTGGGCTCACTAGGCGTGGGCTGCCCAGGGACACGGGCCCCCAGCCGCCCTGTCCCTGTGCCTGGCGGGCACCACCTCTGAGGCTGAGCAGGGAGGGGTGAGTGAGGACTGGGTGCAGGACTCACCAGGCTTCAGCTGCACGTGGCTGCCCTTGACCTGCGCGATCCGGCTGTTGTCGATAGGCCCCGGGGGCTCTGCAGAGGACACCTTGGCTCAGCCCACCCAGCAGGCAGCCTCCGACCAGGAGGGCACAGCACCCTGCCACCCCCGCACAGTGGCGGGCACGGGCTCATGTCTGGGGGAGACACAGGCACAGAACCCCCGGCCCAGCCAGGTCTGGGGGCCTCAGAGAGGTCAGCTTTTTCTTTCCTTTTTCTTTTGTTCTTATTTGCAGCACTGGGGAGGGCACCCAGGGCCCAAGTGCGTCAGGCAAGCGCTCTGCCACACAGCCCTAGCCCTTATTTTATCTTGGACAGGGTCTGGCCAAGCTGCCCAGGGAGACCTGGCACTCAGGATCCTCCTGCCTCAGCCTCCTGAGTCAAGTCACTAGTTTAGCTCTACTGCTCTTCGCTTAGGACAGGAGGGACCCCAGGAATTCCCCATCATGGACAAGTGTCAGACCCGGTCCACACAGATGGGGCCTGTGGGGAACCGCAGCCTGGCCCAGAGGTCAGCAGGGAGTGGACAGGCCGAGGGTCTATGCAGCCTGCTCACCATTATCCTTGCCCTTGACGAAGGCCTCCCACTCGCGGAACCACTGCATGCTGATGCAGTAGATGACGCCGGGCGACTCCTCAGCCTGGAAGGCCTTGTTCAGCTGTGGGGCAGTGGGCAGTCAGCCTCTGCTCTCTGTGCCCGCCCCCATCCTCTGCTGCCCCCACCCCACCCCAGCAACCCCAGGGCTCCCATCAGCTGGAGGTGCTTCCCTTGTCGGCCTGCGGAACTGGGGACCAAACCCAGGGCCCTCACGCTGAGCTCAGGCCCAGCCCCATGTTGAGTCCTGCTAGGTTGCCCTGCTGGGCTCAGAATTGCCACCCTCCTATCTCAGACTCCTAAAGCGCTGGGACAGATGACAGCTGGGCACCATTAGGCCCAGCCAAACCTCTTTTCTGGTTGTTGTTTTTTTTTTTTTTTTTTGGTGGTGTGGGGATTGAACTCAGGACTCTGCACTTGCCAGGCAAGCACTTATTCTACTGAGCTATTTTTTTTTGGTGGTACCAGGGATCGAACTCAGGACCTTCCTCTTGCAAGGCAGGCGCTTATGCCACTGAGCTATCCCCAAATTTTTTTTTTTGTCTTTTTGATACAGGGTCTCCCTACGCAGTTCACACTGGCCTTGGGCTCACTGTGTAGCCAGGCTGGTGGTCTTGAATCCACAATGACCCTCCTGCCTCAGTCACCAAGTCTCTTTTCAATGGCTGCTCTTTACCCTGACTGAGGCAGTGCGGTGGACGCTCTTCCTCGCTGACTAGGACACTCCTTCCTGCCCCACCATGCGGGTGCTTCTGACAGCATCCGGGGCTGTGGCTGGAAGCCAGGCCCACGTGCTGAGGAGGAGCTGGCCGCTGAGCGCTAGCCCAGCCCAGCCCGATCCTGTTAACAGCCACGAAGCAGATCCCTAGCGTCCTCTGTTCACCCCTAACTTAAATGACTAGGGACTTGGGGTCCTCAAGTCTCCCCAAGCAGTGCAGTGGGCGGGGACACCGGTGCCTGGCCTCCCTGCCACGCCACGCCCTGCCACGCCCTGCCATGCCACATGGGAACCCTGTGCTTCTCTCGTCAGTGCTGAGGGTGGCACTGACCAGCGCCTCAGCTAGCAGCTGCTGCTTCCCCAGGGGCTCAGCCAGTGACGTGGCAAGGCGGAGGGAAGCGTGCCAGTGCCTGCTGCCAGCAGCTAAATGCCTTCTACTCCACAAGAAGGCTTTCACCCAGAGGGGCTCCTCAGCCCAAGCCCCATAGCCCATGTAAGAAAAGAATTCCTCCCAGCTGGGACCAAGTGTGGCAGCCTCTAATCCCAGCACTCTGGGAGGCTGAGGCAGGAAAATCACAGGTTCAAGCCCAACCTGGGGCCAGGGGTCCAGGGTGCGTACTGGTCACCCCGGCATTCAGGAGCACAGGCAGTCTCAGCAAAATAAGAGCTGGGACAGCGCTGTTCCGTGTAAAGGCCCTGCGTTCAACCCTCCTGCACCACAGAAAGAAAACACCACATCCTGTCTCTGCAGCACTTGCCCTGCCCCCACCCTGCAGCCTCACAGCGGAGCCCTGCATGCGCTCCCCAAGGCCCTGGGCACCTTGATGAAGGTGTCGATCTCCACCTTCCTGCGCTTGGCCAGCGCCTCGATCTCCACCTGGCACACGGAGCACACGTACAGGTGGTTCACGGCGGGGCCGCCCCCGAACCTGCATGGAGGGACTGTCACAGCCGGCTGGGGAGGGGTGTCCGGGTCCCCAGCGGGCTGCGTCTTTCCAGCCCTCCCTGCCCACCCGCCCCACCTCACCGCAGCGCCCCCACCTGTTGTACAGGTGCTCCCAGACAGTCTGCGGCAGGATGACCACCAGGTCGTCGATGTAGTGGTACTTGTTGGGAGGGATGCCTGTGGGGAGGGTGGGGACAGGGACTCGATGGCTCGGGCCGCCCCCCACCGCCTGCAGCCCCCAGAGCCCGCCTCACCTCCATGCGCGCAGAGGAAGGACTGGTTGCTGATGGGCCCCGGCTCAGCGAACGTGTTGAACTTGTTCAGCCACTCCCGGGACACGTAGAAGCGCAGCAGGCCGGGCTCCCGCACTGCGGCCAGCGACACCACCTGCTGCCGCTCACGCACGGCCTCCTCGCTGCTCTTCCTGGCAGGCGGTGGGACAGCGGGCGTGAGCGGGCCGCTGCCCAGGAGCTCCCACCCGCCGGCCACCACGCCCGGCCCCCGCACCTGTAGAAGAGCACGTAGGCCTCGGCGTGCTGCACGGCCGTCTCGTGCACCTCAGTGACGTACTGGTCGTCGAACTCGTACCACTGCCCGTTGATGACGTTCTGACAGTAGGCGATGTAGTGGCCACCTGGTGGGTGGGACAGTGGGGGTCACGGGGAGCAGTAGTAGGGGGGTAGGGGGCAGGGCCGGGCCCAGGCCACTCACTGCCTGCCGTGCCATGGTGGCAGATGACGGAGAGCAGGTCATAGGTGGTGATCTGGGATGTGCACTCCTTGGCCAGGAAGGGGCGCAGGTCGAGACCCTCAAGGGGGAAGGACACGTGGCTGCTGACCTTGAAGGAGTAGGTCACCTCGTGTCGGAAGCGCTTCAAGTGGATACACAGGACCTGTGGAGACACCGGGTAACGGAAGGCAGGCCCAGGATGCCTCCGGGAAAGGATGGCCCCTCTGGAGCTGTGCCAGGCACTGGTAACAAGCCACTGCGCTGGTACCCGACCCCCAGCTCCCTCAGCAGAGCCGTGGACCACCGACTGCAGCCCCTCAAGGCTCTCCACCCCACTCGTCCCCAGGCTGACAGCCATCAGGGTGCAGGGCACCGACACAGAAACGGCCCTGCAGCCTCCCAGGGCTCTGCACCCCTGGCCACCACTGCCACCCTGTCTGCTGGCAGCCACTCACCTCAGGCAGCCGCAGGACCTTGCAGTACTTTACACCGTTCCGCAGCCTGGGGACACAGAGCCAACGTCAGCATCCCTGGGGAGCAGAGGGCCAGGAGCGGGAATGCTGGGCTCCCTGGGGGTCCCGGGACCCATTGGGATGGGACAGTGAAGGGGCGCTGGGCAGGACCCCAGATGGCACTCACTTCTTACAGCGCTCGCAGCTATACATGTTGTCACCTGGGCGCAGGACAGAGGGCAAGGGTGGGCAGGGACAGAAACCAGAAAGACAAAGCAAACATCAGGGTCACTGCTTGAGGAGACCCCGGTGGCCGGGCACAGCGCGCACGCCTTCACCCCAGCACTGCGAGGCCGAGGCAGGAGGGTCCCGAGTTGAGGGAGCCCAGCCCTGGCCACTTAGTGAAAGCTCCTTTCAAAATGCAGACTACAGCAAGGTCAAGAATGCAGGTCCACGCCAAGGCCGTGGGCTCAAGCGCCGCATGGCAGGAACAAGTAACACCGCAGTGCAAGGGCACGCTCTGCCGCCCTCCCCAGACCAGTGGACAGTGTGGAGGAGAGGGCAGGCCACAGCCCTGCCCTGCCAGTGCGGACGGAAATGCCCACCTCCGGCGTCAGGACCAGAGCCCCGACCCGGCGACTCTCTCGCTGGGTGTGAGCAGGGCTGAAGGAAGAGACCACTCCTCTACCCTGTGCTGGTCGTGGCCGTCCTCACAGGAGCTCACTGTGGATGCCGCCACAGGCCCACCGAGGGCGCACAGACAAGGCGCGCGTGACCCAGAACGCTACTCAGCCTTCAAAGGGGAGGCGCGTCTGAAACAGGGTACAGCCTGGGTTCACCCCGAGGATGCTGCACTCGGGAACCATCACTAAAAGGCAGGAAAGGAGGCGGCTACAGAGGACAAGGCCAGAGATCTGGAACCAGGACAGCAGCTTCCAGCGGCCGGCGAAGGTGAAAGCTCATTTCTTTGAGACAGGGTCTTGCTCTGAGGTTCAGACTGGCCTTGAACTCATAGGGATCCTCCTGCCTCAGCCTCCCCAGTGCTGGGATGACAGGCGTGCGCCACCACACCCAGCCTCAGGGTGAAATTTAATGGATAAAGAGCTTCGGTTTTGCAGAAGATAATGTTCTGCAGTGAATGGTGGTAATGACAACACAATAGCGTGAATGCATTTAATATTATCGAATAGTTGGGGGCCGGGGATACAGCTCAGTGGCCTGAGCACCTGCCCAGCAAGGGCGAGGTCCTGAGCGCAATCCCTGGTAACACAAAAATAAAAATAAAATAAAATAAAATTACACACACACACACACACACACACACACACACGTAACTGAACAGTATGTTTATGTTAAAAGTAACACCAAAAATGGCTATGAGCGTAAGCTTTCATTTTGGGGGAGGTGGGTTTTGAGATAGGGTCTCACTATGTAGTCCAGGCTGGCCTCAAACATGGCAATCCTCCTGCCTCAGCCACCTTAGCCACTACAGCTGGCTTTTTTTTTTTTTTTTTTTGCAGAACCAGGATTGAACTCAGGCCCTTGTGCTTACCAGGGAAGCGCTTATTCCACTGAGCCATCTCCCCAGCTCTGCCTCT